ATCAGAAAACTCTGGTTATTTTCAGGAGACTTTCAATAATAATACGCAATTATTTATTTAACAATTTTTTAATACTAACGATTTTTTATTTGTCCCCCATTGCATTTTTCGGGGTTTTTGGGGTTTTTGGCGGACCTACAAATTATAGTTGCGATGAAAAAAGGTTAAATAAACAATTGGGTATTATTATTGGGAATCCTGCAGCTGAAAAAAGTTTTCCGATAGAAAAATAGTTTTTTTGAATTATATACCATTTCTACCAAAAGTGTTTTTCCCCATATAAAATATGTACATGGGAAACTTTGGGCGCTTTGAGCGACCTCTAACTATTTTTTGATTTCAAAATAAAAAATAGGGATATATTTTTTCGGTATAGAACAATCTTGGGGGGTGAGAGCATAAAAATTCCGACTTTACTTTTTCACATGCATTTTTGGACCACCCTAATGCACATATATGTTTCTCGTATTTATAAATAGATTCCCTGAGGAAGACGCGAATATGCGTCCAAACGAGTAGGAGGAAAATAAACGTTTATTCTTGTTGTAATAAAATACCGAAAAGCTCCATACACAACATTAAACTCTCAGCTTAGTCGAGGAGAAATAATTATTACATACACGTATGTTTGGTTTTTGTACGGCTGCTAGTACCACTTTATATGAATTCGCTATTCTTCTACGCGCGTATCTGAAATGTGCTACTCTTCCACGCAAAAATCTGAAATGTGCTAGTCTTCCACGCGAATAGTGAAATGTGCTAGTCTTCCACGCGAAAATCTGAAATGTGCTACTTTTCGACGCGAATAATGAAATGTGCTAGTCTTCGACGCGAAAATCTGAAATGTGCTAGTCTTCCACGGTAATTTGAGATGTGCTACTCTTCGTTGGGAGCGACGATATATGCATTTAATTTTTTCTAATATTTTATTCACAAATAAGTCCTAGCTCACCCAAAATCACATTAAAATTTAACCTTCTTACTAAAAACCTTTAGTTTTCTGATGGAATGTCGATAAAAAAGATGAGAGCTGTCAGTGTAGCTACTTAAATTGAATACACGAAAAGTATTTTTATACAGTAAGTAATTAACTGAAAATTATAGATAAAGTTTTGTTTTTTGCTCAGCAGGCAATGGCCAACCTCCGAGTGCATTTCTGCCTTAACAAAGCTTCTCACAAAATCTCTCTGCCGTTCAGAGGCGGTGTAAAATTTTGTGCTCCTCCATTTGTGTAACCTCTGCAGGGAAAGCTACTAGTTGTGAACTAGAATTCGACCAGTTTGCTTTTCAGCCCAACTAGTTCACGTTCTATCCTTTTTCAATGTTAGCGACTAATATTTTTAACATTGCGATGTCCTACGAAATGTCAATTGTCAGGCTATGCATCAGCATCTACTAGTAGAAATACTAGTAGCATCATACCAGTTGATGAGATAGTCTGCCAATTCATGCCCCGTGAAAAGCATAAGTGTGCCTTTTTGCTCGCGATGCTCCAGAAGTCACAATGGCCGACAGAGCAATGCACTCGCGTGGTAAGCCTGAGTACCCGGGTTCAAATCCTGGCGCAGGGAAAGTTTTTTTATTTTTTATTTTATTTTTATTTTTTATAAATTTATTTTTTTGTTTAGGCTGTTTATTGTAATTTTTAAATTTAATAAAAAAAAATATTTTTATTTAATTTCTTTTTTTTTATAGCACAAGCATTCTTCTTAAATGTTTTTTTGCAATGCAATTCGATTTTCAAATTTGTTATTTATTTATAAATTGAATAAGTTATTTTTACTTACATTTATTTAACTTAAAAATCCTTAACCACCTCCAAGCGGCCTCGAACTTGCGATTTCAGAACCAGAACCAGTAGTCTTCACGTGACGCCACAGCCGACATTTGTAACAAAAGCAATTAATTGCGTTTAATTTTTGGCTTTGGCAATTCAAAGGCAGATGACGCTGATCGCCTAAGTTCTTCGAAATTGGCGAACTGGTAGGCACATCCTAGTTAATGAACTAGTATTTTTTCTAACTGGTTTGGCTTTTCACTGCAGGGACATAGCCCATACGCACAGCCCAAATTGAAGGTGGAGCTAAGTATTTTGAAAACTTTTCTTCTTTTGGTGATTTAGTAAAGTAAAGTTCCGTTAGATGCACAAATTTGTTTAGTTAAAAGTGACAACACTATTTCTCCGCTTGTTCCGATCAACGAATGAAAGACTTAAGAAGCGAACTTCTCACCATATATCACAATATACTACTCACGGGCATCTATTTATTTGTAAATATATCAGAAAATCGTCCATTATAAAGACTGACAGCTAAATCTATAAAAAATAAGGAAGAGTTCAACTGCTTTAAAAATCGAAAATTTTTATTAAAATATCAGTTTAAATTTCTCTTTAAACCTACATTATTTTTATGAATAAGGCCATCTGAATCTATAAAACTGGTAGGTTTTTACTTTTACTTTGTAATTCAAACAATTAAAATCACTCATTATTCAATAAATACACAGAAACTGGCCAAGTCATCTATCGCGAGTAGATATTTTTAATTTTTCTATATTTTTTGTGACTTTTTTTAACCCAAATAAACAGCAAATTGATTTTTCAAACGTTCACTTGAAGGCAGCAGCAGCACAACAATCATTTATGCACTCATATTTTCATATTTTGCAAATATCCAATCTAGTGAGGTAATTAAAAAAAAAAAAAAATCGAATAGCTGTCAAAGCAAATATACAAATCAGCGGGAGCAGTAATTGTGAAAATTATGCGCGAGTAGGAAAAAATTATAATAACTGCAACTAATTGACAATAAAGCTGCAAAATCCTGTAGTCGCCAAGCAGCAACAGGCTGATCACTTGTCAGAATGGCTGCTCGTTGGTTGGCTAAATGGCTCAGTTACCCAGCAAAGTTTGTGATTTAGCTGGCCAGTCAAGCGGTTAGCCAGCTGCAGCCTATCAGTGAAAATCACATGCATTTGTTTCCATGTATGCGTGTGTGTGTGTGTGAATACGAGTATGAGGCTATTCGGCTATAGGCTTCCCTCACATATTGGAGACTGTGCCTCGCCTATCTTGTCTGCCGACTTGTCTACTTGGTTGCCTGGCAGTTTATTTGCCTGTGCGTGCGTGCATCTACTTGCCTGCCTGGCTGTCACACAAATTAAAGTCTGCCAGTTGACGGCGTCATCGTCGTCATCTTCGTTGTCGTGCAGTCGTCAAAAGCTATGAAACTATTCACATTTAAATACTTATGTCTATAATACACATGCCGTTTGACATACATCTGTTTGTGCGATTGGAATGTTGCTGAATTTATTCGGGTGGTGGAAAAGAAAAAAAAAACATATACATAATAATGCACTTATCAATCAATAATTATAAATATGCGAACGGGTTATCAGGAAGAAAAATATTTTGAAATGTGTTGTCAATTTTAACTTTATGGCTTTCGCAAATAAATTGGGTTTGCTTTGGTTAGGTCAGGAAAATTTTTGTTTTTTATCAGAAGTAAACAAATTTCAACAAGTGTGGAGAGTTTAATGTTTTCGTTAGAAATGAAGAAAAATAACTAAATATTATATATATATTTAAATAATGGAAATTATCGAAAAAATCCCTTCGATGACGAATATTAAGTAAATAAAAACTTTAAATTTAGTGAAAATTTTAGTTTTTCAATTTATCATTCCTTTAAAGCGATTCTGAAATATTAAAAGCTGTTCCATAAACAACTGGCTAGCAATTATTTTGTGAATTATTGTTGGTATCTTTATCAAAAGGTTATGATTTTGAACGAAATACCCAATTCACCATTTTCATAACCGCAAAATTTGTCAAAAAAATTGCAGTGAAAACTTTGTGAAAAATAAATAAAATTTAATTTTAAAATACAACCTTAATTTTGTGTGAAGTCATGAAAAATGTTTTCAATTAAAGCCCTGCCTGAAAGCGGTAATTTAGAAGCACCCCCCTGACAGCAGGATTTTTTTCCAGGACTTAATAAACAAATAATATGAGTGTCAAATTATTTTAGGTAGCCCAGTATGGAAGAAAGTTCAAATAGAAAAATTATTCTAGTTCGCGGTTTCTAGATACTAGAAAATCTTTTATAATTATCATCACACTTTAAATTTTACATGAAATTCTACCAGGTGAAGTAATAGAGAGAAATTTATGAAACTATCGTAATTAAGTATTTATCTCATAGTTTTTGTACATACATAATAGGTAGATTTTCAATGCACCGAAATCTTCTATTCTTGGGGAGTACAACAAAGAAGACTTTTTCTCTGAAATATTTTATGAGCAACGAGTTTAACTTTCTTGTAATCTTTTCCAATGAATTGTCTGTATTAAATATCATTAACATATAGTTTGGAGTCCCAGATAGTAGTTAACTTTTGGCCTGAAAAAAAAAACAAATCTAACTTATTTAGTTCATAAGGTATTACCATCATAGCCAAAAGTATCGATATGAGTGGGTATGAATACTTTAGATCCGATATTTTTGCTTGTAGGTAGTATGGAGAAAGGTACACTACAAAATAAGTTTTTTCTTACAAAAATGTAGGGTTTTATCTTAACAATTAACACTGCATGAAGTCATAATTATGACCGTAATTGTATTTGATTTATCAATTTAGCTTTAGTACTTAAGCCATTAGATTTTGATTTAGCTCTTTTAGCCTTTTTTTTTGCACATTTAGTCTTTTCTCTGGAAAAGTTCTGGCAACACTGATAACACGATTATCAAGATTATTATTTTTTTGATAAACTGTGGAATGACTACTTTTCATTTATGAATAATTTTTAACTTCTTGAAAAAAATGGACTTGAAAAAAATGTCCTACGCTTTAATTAGAAGTCATTTAAGAACTTACACTATAAGACTGGCTTAAAAAAATGCGACGTGAAATTGTTTTTAAATGTATGTATTTTAAACGGATCGTTATTCTGGTTTTATAAGAAAAAAAGTTAAAAGTAAACATTTTAATTTCAGTAACTCCACAATGGCATGAACAAATTGATGATATCCGAATATAAAAAAACCAGTGGCAGCTATATATTTCAGCAAAGGAAAAACAGTTTTTACATCTGCAGTCTTACTACAAGCATAAGTGGAATGGAAAATAAATTACAAAAATGCGTAAATAAAAATAAAAAAAAGACTACATACAACAACAGGCAGGCTGTATAAGTGAGTGATAAATTAAATTTACACATATAATTTCAAGAAGTGACTGTTAAAAAAAGACTTGTTCAAATAAAAGTGCTTTACACTAAAATAAATTCTTAAATGAAAACGAAAAGAATTTGTATTCCTCAAATTTAGAAAAAGTAAATAATTATTTTCTGAGGATAACAATACTTTTTCTGAGTGAAATTGACAATGACAACTGACGAAGTAATCACTATAATAACTTATACATGTGTATGTGTTGAGTTTCCGAATAACTAATAAGACAAAAGTTTTTCGTGAGTTTACAATGAAGTGGTACGTATGCATGTGTTTTTAGCTATTAAAACGTTATAAAAAAACACAAAATAAAACAAAGTAGACAAAGAAGGAAACCAATGAAAACAGAGAACTACTCTTCAAGCACCTGAAACAAATTGGGAAAACTGTAATGAAATGTATTAATATGAACTTGTGAGAAAGATTTGTGTTTATTTAAAAACTAAACACAATTTAAACCAAGTTTTTAAATAAGCACAAAAAAGTGGAAAACAATCAAAAAACTGAAAAAAACTACGAAACTTTGTTTGACTATTTAACAGCATAGCTTGCTGTAAGCTTTAGCAAAAACAACACTTGGTAAGTACCCTCCTTTATATTCCAAAATCAAAAACCCGCTTCTAATTGTTAACTACAACATCACTAAGAACATGAGTTATGTATGTAAATTAGGGTGGTCCTTAAAAAATCAAATGAGCAATTTTTTTCAGTTCCACACCTTCAATCGGTTATACTACGGGCACAAATATCACATGTCCCGATTGGAGACGGTTAACACGCGTCGGACAAGGGCCAAAGTTCACATTCCCCTATAGAGACACAAAAAATTAAAAATAGTTTTTTCATTTAACACCTAAAATCGATACTAAATACTAAAGTGGGAGATATAACATAAAAATTTTGGTCGCGATTGGAATCTGTTAAGACGTCTTCATAGTGTAATATAAATTTAGACCCCTGTGCGCTACACCTTAACCGACTCCGATCGGAGCCAAAATTTGTATGTAATATCTTCGATTAATTTAGCATCAACGTAAGGGTTAGGAAATCTGATGTAAAAATTTTCCCGCATTTAAAGGCCACCTCAATGTACATATGTGAAGTATTAGACCGTTTCAAAATAAGTTATGTTTCAAAATTTTTTTTTACGGATTGTGTTTTTTTTTTTTTTTTTTATATGCAATATAACTTGGGAATATAAAACAAGTGATCCATGTTAGAGAGTTGATAGTTTTAAACAGAAAAAGTATTTTTTGGTCGATCAAGGCGTGGTATTGTCAAACATTTTTTATAATGATTCTGTTCAGTTTAATAAAAGAAAATCCTAACAATCAAAATGTAAAAATTCATTTGGCCTTGATTCGGTGTAAACATATGAAAACACACTTATGCACACAGAGAGGTTTGCTAATTGGCTTTCATTACTCTTAAACGGAGAATATAATTTTTTATTTTTTTGTTTTTTTTTTTTAACCCTTCGTCTGACACATGAGTCCAGCCAGGCCTTTTCCATTTTCAAATTACAAAAAAGGGTACTTTAAATATAGCTAGAGGCTTGAAATTTCAGGTAGCTTACTAAAGTTTAGTGAATTACCAATCTGTAAAAAATCGTGTTGGTATCATATATATAAAGCTAGATATATAGAGATGTGATTAATACATCACATTCGTAACACATAGGTCTGGCTGGACCCACATATATTCCTATGTAATTTTTACCTAAAATGAAAGAATGCAACCGTTTTTCAAAGTGTTCTTTTGAATTTTTGAACTATCATGGCAAGAGATGATTTGCATTTTTAACCGACTTCCAAAAAAGGAGGAGGTTATCAGTTCGTCGGAATATATATATTTATTTTTTTATATGTATGTTACCGCATAACTTTCCGACCGTCAACTTTACTACCGTCAACCGATAATTATTTTTGCATCGGAAAGGTAGTATCTCGGAGGTGGTCCCATACTAATTTGGTTAAGATCCGATCAGTGGATCATGAGATATATCTATGTATATAATATGCGAAGGCATTTTTTGTGCAGCATAAAAGATCTGCACCGTTCGTTCGGGGTGTCAAATTAAAGCGCTTGGCCTGTAGATGTGCAAACTGGTTTTATTTTTTCGAAAGGGGTTGCCACCTGTTAAATAATTATACTCAAGTTATTTACTAATCAATGCCCTCAGATCCGCACCGTCCGTTTGATTTTCAAAAGTGAGGTACCAAATTAAAGGGCTTAGGGTGTGGATGTTCAAGAAGGTTTTACTTTTTCGTAAAAAGTTGCCACCTGTTAAGAAATTAAGCTCAAATTAATTAATAAGTTAAATCAATTATTAAATATGGGTAGCAATCGAAATGGTTTTGAAAAGGCTTTATAACTTAGCTACGTATAGGAGGGTTGCCACATGTAAAAAAAAATGTATTCAATTTTAATTATGTAAAGGAATTTGGTAAGTGAATAAGGTATCGCTATATGGATGTCATATAAAAGAGGTTTAAGAAGGTAGTAGTTTGGAAATATTTTGAATAGGGTTGCTACCTATTTAATTGAACTATTGGGTATAAGTTATATGAAATATGAGCGATGGATGTCAAATGAAAGAGTTTCAAGAAATTATTGGGGGATTCACAACGGTGTCGTAAGTGTCGTATTGTTGTATGTCGTAAACTTTAAAAGCACCACTGAGAAATGGCTTAGATTAATCATTAGGAATATTTTTAGAGGTTATTTAATAGGGTTTCACCTGTTTAAAAAGTTTAATTAAATGTTGGCGTTTTGACGTCTTGCGGGTTCACTAGTATATATATCTATTTTTTTATATGAGAATTGAAGTCGGTTTTTTTTGCAAAAAATTACTTGTTACCTAAAATGATGTTACTCGGAGCTCGCTTGTGCTATGCTAATCCTCTTTTGACCACAGCGCTCAATTTTTCGATGGTCCGGCAATTTGTTTGGAGGATATGTTCATTATACCTTTTATATTAACCCAAGACACCAAATGCCAGCAAGCAAAACATTCCAAGCCTTTAAGCTGCCACTTAAATTTTGTAAAAGTCACGAGAATTCGAGCTTTTTAACTGAAGAGGGGTAATATGGTGCGATGGAACGAAAATTAATTATTTCCAAAGCGATAAGAAGGCATATTTTTGGGAAAGACCTTATTAACATCTTCAAAAACACCATGCCAAGAAAAAAATCTAACATGGTGGCCAGCATAAATCCCAGACCTCAAAGCTATCGAAAAATTGAGCGCTGTGGTCAAGAGAGGATTAGCATAGCACAAGCGAGCTCCAGTAACATGAAAGAGCTTTGGAGGTGAGCAAAATTATAATGGGGTAATATTCCAAGCGAAATCATAGAAAACTCAGTAGAGAGCATTCCCGGACGTATGAAAATCGCTATTAAAAGCAAAGGAGTCTCCATAATCCTCTTGATATATACTTCCTAAAAGTTCAAAACTGAGTGAAGATAGTTGCCTTGCGTTTTTGCTGTGAATCACTTGTTAATTTTTCTATTTACTGGGTTTTATATCTCAGATAATAAGGAAAAATTTTTGAAAATTTCAAAGCAATCCGCTTATTATTAAAAAAGTTATGTTACTGTAAGTAATAAAATGTCGAACATGCACCCGGTTTTGATCGCCAGTGTATTTAAATAATAAAATAAAAAAATAAAACCTTTAAATTAAGTAAATATGTGAATAACTTACAATAAATAAGTTTAACTGAACAAATGTTGCACATAATTTCTATATAAATTCATACAATTTGCATGTGGGTCCAGCCAGACTCATGCGTACCGAATGTGCCAATCGAAACATGTGTCTGACGGAGAGTTAATTACGAAAAAAAACGTAATCAAACGAAAAAATCTCCAAAGCGCCCTATCTTAGCTGTCGATTTAAAAGCGCCCTATCTGAGCATATTTTCAATATATTTTCCAACGAAATTCTGAGAAACGTTTTTTTTAATTAAATGCTGTTTAATTCATATTAGGAATGTTAATCCCGCGATCCCACGACCCCGGAATTCCAGTATTTTTAGGTTCCGAAAATCCCGGTATTCTTGGAAAATAATCCCGGGATTTTCGGGATTTGTAATTTGCACTAATGGCGATAATAGAAATTCCTTTTCATAACCAGTATTAGCTATATTTCTTTTTTTTTTATTTAATAATTAATTTTTTTTATAAATTTCTAGCTCTTCATACATAGAGAATCGTGCGATAGTAAATTTTACACCAAAAAATGAATATATTCGCGAAACCATGGGCCAAATATAGTAAAATTAACTTTTAGTTTTCCGCTCTGATGTCAGTAATTCAAAAATAATTTAAAAAAATCAGTGAAACGAGCTTAGAGAAGAAGTAAACCAAACTAAAGAGAAAATTCTGCAAATTTTAACAGATTCAATGTTTTGATACATAAGGACTTTTAAGTATTAAAAATGTGCTTTTAAAATTTTATCTTTGAGTTTTGGCAATATTTGTTTCTGAAAAAATTATATAATAAGATTATATATAAACTCGATAAAATCCTTGAATTTCGTTTGTCTAACTTTATCAGCTGAAAAAATTACATATGTATTCGTCCTTGCGAATCCAAAAAACTTATGTTTTTTTTATTCAAAAGAAATTTCTTCTTCCATTTGTTACACGTATTTTTATTCTACATTGCATTGAGTGTTCTAAATAATTTTTGGAATTAATCATATCTTTGGAATTACAAATTCCTTTAAAATAAATCCTGACGTCAGAGAGAAAAAATAAAGACGCCAATTTAAATAAAAAATTACGTTTCAAACCCATTTATTTATTTTTTATTTTATGGTATGAGAGCTTCTCAAACAATGGAGAAGCAATTTTTTCGATTTAAATTGTTGAAAAGTAATAAATATCTAAATCCCGGGACTAATCCAGGGATCCCGGTATTGTCATAATGACATCCTGAAAATCCCGGGATCGTAAAAAACGAAAAAATTAACATCCCCAATTCATACATATAACCAATGACCAATATTGTCTATAATTAGCAATAAAAAATGTTTAACTTAAACAGTTACAATCACACAAAAAATAGAAAAAAAAAACTTTTATTTTTGATCGAAAAAATAATTCTTTTCTTTTCTTTAAAATCTTTAACTTATATATTTGACCGAAAGAATAAAGAAAAAAATTAACTTTTGTTTTTGACTTAAAACATATCGGTGATATGCAATGATGGTGCCTTTACTAGTATAATAAGGCATATGGCAAGATTTATAAAAAACAAAGCAGACTTTAACTTTGTTTTGTATAAATTTTGGCACAAGTTGATTAGTGTTTGAACTTATATGTATGTATGTATATATGTGTATATAATTTGGCTAGTGGTATAATCACACAATGTGCTATGAATATGCTATATACATATGTACATACAAAATATATGTAGCTAGCAGTTATAGTTATTAATATATTTCATCTTCTCTTTGTTTTAAGTATTCTTGTTACTCCATAGAGCAGAGCAGATGTATGCGTTGTAACGTAATGTAAAAAATTCCGCTTTTCTACAAGCATATAATAATGATTCGTATAAGCTGCAT